ATGTTCTGTCATGTTAAGTTTGTCCACAATAATTGACATATTGAGTTTTTTTGTTTCTAAATCTTGCAGAGGGGAGCTGCTGACTTTGAGAAACATTGAGAAACTGCATAAAAAACCAAAATCAGACAAGGAAACACGTCTGGCAACAGCAATGGTAAGAACCCTGTGTTAACTGTAGACTGATTTAACTGTACAGAGACATCATGGTTGTTCAGCCGCTGATAAACCAGTGACTCCGGAATGTCATTCATGGGTAGTTTGTATATATTGTGAGAGTACATAATGATGTGCAGGACATAAACTAACAAGGATAACCTGACAATTATTTCTTCATTAATTATTTGGTCTATAAAATGTGGGGGGGCGACTCTAAATAACATTTTCCAAATAATATCAAACATTCACATTCTTTTTTTTGTCTAAATAATTGAAAAAGCTATTGTTACTGAAGACTGTGAAGCTGGAACCATAATGTTGTTGTTTGTCATAGTTAATAGTTGATTGACCCCTGACGTGTTTGATTCTCCAGGCGGGACGGACCGACCGGAAGGACTTTGTTAAGAAGCATTCCAAACTAAACCCACACGCCAGCACCAGCAACAGGGAGAAGAGGAAGACAAAGAACTTCATGATGATGAGACACAGTCAGAACGTTCGGACAAAGGGCAAGCGCTCCTTCAGAGAGAGACAGGTAACACGGGTCAGAGTGAGCTGCTGCATTTCATTGTACTCTTTCATTTCAACTAAAGTATTTCGTCTTTGTGTTTCAGATCGCTCTACGAGATGCTCTCCTGAAAAGGAAGAAGCAGCACCATTAGGACACGTGGAGATGATGCTTGTCGTCACAAACCTGATCTTCGACTATGTCAAATATTATACATCTTTCAGTGGCCTGTAAACTATGTCAGCTCATTAATGTATTATATTCAGTGGAGGAACTGCATAGATGAACTCTGTTCTGAAATAAACCATCTTTATAATTGTGTTGATGTGAATTGTTAATTCAATTATGGATAGAAATCATTATCCCATTGTTGTTTTTCTTCGTGACAGTTGTCTTAGTCCTTACTGTTTTGCTGCCCTCCAAGTGCCTCTGGAAGATGTTGTAAACTCAAGGACCTCATGCAAGAACAGTTGTTGC